CACTCCCGGGCCCCGTTCCCAGCTCCGGCCCCCTCCTCCCCCCTCCCTCGGGTCGCCAACGGGGGAGGGTGGAGGGAAACCCCGTCGGCCCCCACCCCGGCGCCGGGCGCCCCGGCGGCCATCGGACCCCAGGCAGGCGGTAATCGGGCGTATCCCCCCGCGGGGGCGCCGCAGACGGCTCCGCTCCGTGCCCGGCCCGGTATCGCCGCAGCCCCGCGGACCGAACGGTAGCCCCGGCCCGGGCACCCACCTCGCTCCGCGCCGGCCGGGAAAAGAGAGAGTTCTCGCGAGACCCGCGCTGTTCGCGGCCCGCGAAGGCACTGGCCCCGCCCAGGCGGGTGAAGCCAGACCCGGAAAAAGGGCAGAGCGACAAACCGCGCGCCCTGCGAACACACACGACCGTCGCTACTGCGAAGCCCGAGCGGACATTTGGAGTCCTGGCACGGGGGCCGGAGTTGCCATATGCGCAGGGCCAGTAGGATGGGCGGTGGGAGTTTCCCCTCAGCCTTTCCCGGGGATGCGCTTCCTGCAGCACGGAGCGAAGGAGGGGCAGGAAAAGGCTATTCCGGTCTGTCTGTCGGTTACTCAAAGCCACTTGCTTCTTCGTGGGTCCGGGCGGCGTGCGGTGGCTCCGCCGCTCCGCTCCCCTCAAAGGCAGAATTCCCGGCCTGTGGTGTGGAGATGCTGCTCCTGTAGAGGGTTACCGGGATCTCAGCGGCTCTGTTCTCGGGTCTCCCTGCCCGGCAGGGCTGTGCAGAACGGCGGCCCCCGGCGCTGAGAGCGGCGGGAGAGCGGGCGGTGTTTGCCCTCCCTTCTCTGTCTCATCTCTCCGCGTTAGTTTGGCGGGCTGGGAGCTCACCAGGGATGCTCGTGCCTTTCCAGATAGAGATTTGCTGGAGCAGTGTTGGTGCAGTCACCCCTGGCCCCCAGCGGGGCGTTGTGCTGGGGAGACACGGCCAAGCCACCTGATCGAGTGCCAGCACAGGGCCGTACCTGGGCTTTGCTTTGGTTTACCTCTATAAACACGACCTCTCAGCTGCTTCTGCTAAGGCAGTGACACAGCGAGCAGAGTTATTTGACTATCCTTAGACAAGAAATAAAGCCTGAGTCTTCAGCTGTCTTCAGGTACTAATTCAAGATATAAGAGTTTGGGCCTTGAAGTATTCTGTCAGCATTGGAAGCACTTTTTATTATCTACTATGTTATTATCTAACAAAGAAGGCCTCTAATAACACTTGCGTTGAGCACTGATAAAAAGAAAAAGCTGTACTCTAGTTCCGAAAGAAGTGACTTGCTTGTTGATTCAGGTGGAAGTGTCTGGCTGTGCATCTGAAGTGAAGCTAAAACCTTACCGGGACAAAAAATCCCTACCCTGGCACTTCTGTGTTGGTTCATTTAGGGTCCCCACTCAGAGGCAGCTGTGCAGCTCATGGCACACACTGTCCAGAGAGGTGAGACCCGGGGGGGGGTTCAGAGCACTGGTTTGTGGTCACGTTTCCTGGATAACCCTAAGAGCAGTCAACTTTAGCTTGTAATACCACATTCGCTATTACTGTGTAATGGTGTTTGTGAAGTCTGTTACTTAAAGCAAAAAATTGTAGTAATGGAGTAATAAGCTCCATAAGTCAATAAACTGACAAAGACCCCAAGCTAAACAACCTCAGCATCTGCAGAAGGCAACATGTCATGTTTTCTAATATTTGTGGGCTTTTTGTTAAATTTCTGATAGCCCGAAAAGCAGATTGTTCAGTTCCCCTTTTTCTCCCAAGCCACTCTTCTCTGCTAGCATGAATTCAATGAATGAAAAAATCTGCCCAGCTTATACTGATGGCCGGAATCAGTATCTATTGAGACTGGAAGCTAGCTAAACAGCAGTGATCAGGATCTGATTGAAGGGTAAAAAAAGAGAAAGATAACAAGTAATCACCTTGGCAGTCCAGTAGTCTGCAGTTAGTTTATACTGTGAAATCATTTACGAGGGGGAGAAAGAATAGATGGTGCGTGAATAGATCAAATCTGGACTGTTCAGAGCATTAATGAAGTTGCAATGTGCCTGTAGCTTCCCACCTTTGTCTGTTACTGCTACTGAAGAGACCAGGATGCTGCATAAGAGCAATGACAGAAAAGGTGTAGAGAGATGGTCCCTTTCAGACACTGAATTTACGTTAGGGGAAGGATGCAGTGTCAAGGTCTCTGTGGGCTTTACTCAGTCAATAATGCCTGGTATCAAGAGCAGGTGACAGTGATTTTCAAGAATCACCATGGGCATGTGATCTTTAAAGAAAATTATGTCACTACAAAGTAACATAATTAATAAAATTCTCATGCAATGCAGACTCAGAATTGGCAGGGTGAAGCAGTGGAAGGAATAAATTAGGTGTGTAACAAAAGTATCCCAACAACAATAGGATAAGGTCTTGCAATGTTATGAATATAATAAGTAATATAATACATGGAAGAAACAGAGAGATGGCAAGGCTTGTTGGGGTCATAGTAACTCCAGAACTGGAAAAAAACCTGAATCTATTACTACTTCACTTCTCTGAACAAGGCTTGTGCAACCACACAGGTTCTAAAGCTCATGGATAGGCTGTTCCTCTGAGGATTGACTGAAGGCTGGGATGATGCTGGGGGATTACTGCTTTGCAGCTTCACTGACACACAGTTTTACACTGAAGTACAGGCAAGTATTCTGCAAGATCTCAGTTCTGAGAAGGAAGACAAAACACCTTATTTCCCTGTCTTATGTTTTCAGTCATGGTAATGACATGGTAATGAGAGGGTGTGCTAAATAAAGTGACTACCTAGTGACCTACCCAGCTGAAAGCTCAGTTTTAAATAGGAAATGCTTGATTCAGGTCACATCAAATTCTGCTTTAAAACTGTATGTGGGGAACTGTATTATGGTTAAACATTTCAAGCTAAAATATTTGTCAAAGATTAAAATGCTTTGCTGATGTGTACATTGCATGCATTAATGTGGGACAAAGTAATCAGCTTAGATACATAGTGACTAAGTAAAAATGTTGTTACAGACACATGCCCCTACTTAATAGTGATCAGTGTATTTTTGTATACATATACTAAGTCCTTTTTTCCTGCAGACTGTCTGTTATAAATACAGAAATGGCTGCTAAGAAAATTTGTTAATAAATGAATAAACCAGTTTTGATTTTAGTGTGGGAGAGAAACATGGGACCCTTATAAATTGTAAAACATGACTGCCATGCATGGCTCAATGACCACTCTCATTCAACATGGTGCCACCATGTTTCCACCAAAACAGGGGCACTTGCTCTCCTTTTTTTTCCCTTAGCTACTCATTTCCAGCACCTGTGCTTGTGCAAGCTTTGATTTGGCAAAAATTGGCTATATTTGTGTATCTCATTAGCTTATTTTGCAGTGGCTACACAGGGTTGCCCTGTGTTAGTGTGACATTGACTACAAGTGTTAAATCATTTACAAAACCTGCTTAAAGTCCTATCCATACATATAATTACATTATTCTGTATTCAAATGAGACTTTTTGTGACTGAGTGCTTCAGCTTTGCAGGTGGGAACTAAATAGTTCACTTCTTGGCAAGTCTTCACACCCACTTCAAAAAAATGAGTTACAGAGCTCAAAACATCCTCTCTGACCCAGGCTGACTGGAAAACCCCCAAGTCCAGCAATGCTACAGCAACTAGAGAGCAAGTACCACAAAGCAAGCACAGGTATGGCTTAGCCTAGCAGTACTAAATGCCACTGTAGCAAAAATGCCACCTGTTATGTGAGGAAGGGGATCCATCTCTCCTGCCCCTGCAGCACAGCAGCCCAGAAAAATCAGCAATGGAGATGCAACAGTAAAGGTAGGGCTGGATGATCCAATGCAGCCTCAGTTTTACCAGCTGGGAGAAGAAGCAATGAAAGGGGGTGTGTGTGGTACTTGGTGGACTTCAAAAGTCTTCTTTTTTTTTTTCCCAGTTTGAATCTGAGTTCTGCATATTGGTCATGACAGTAGGAGAGTTACTGCTAAGTCCTTGCATGTAAATTTGATGTATGAATCTGTTCAAAGAGAGAACTAATGAGTGTAATAGGTCTTTTCTTTCTGCTTCTCTCATGACTTACTGCTCATTGCTCCTTTAGTATGTGTTAACCAAAGAAAACTACAAGTAATGAAAATGTGCAAACCTGTAAGGAATAAGAAATCCTTCTACTATAGAAAACCATACTTAAAAGAAAAGCTAACCAAGAGCAATAAAGTAAAAATATCACAGGCAGGAGGTAGTGAGAAGTCTCAGTGGAGATCTTTACAGAGATAATCAGTGTAAATAATCTTGATCTGAGAAAAGCAGACATGAACATTTTGTAAGAGTAATATGAAGTCTTATGAACATGTTGGAGGAAGCAAGAAAAATGCAGTAAATATATCCAGATACGGCCCTGACCATATTGTTTCTGTATTCCACCAAGGCCTCTCAAATAGATAAGCTCTTTGGTTTGTGGGGTTTTTTTGTTTGGTTGGTTTTGGGTTTTTTTTTTAACAAAAAGTGTAATCCAGCTGATACACACAGTGATGTTGAACCCATTTGCTGTTTTTGCAACTGAAGGCAAAATCAACCAAGCCAGTGTTTCACATTCTTGGCATTTTACCGGGCCACCCCTGTACATCTGAATACAGCACTCTGCAGCTTTGGCACATTGTGGTCAGCTTTTCAGTGCATCTATATTGGGGCTACGAGGGAAATCCAGCTGCACATATACACTGGGCTGTTTTGGAGGCAACTATACCAGTGCCCCCATCTTCACTACTTTGATCTTGCCAGCAGCTCAGTTGAGGCACTGAATTTGGCACGTACCTAGACCTCCCTGCTTCAGTCTCCAGCACACAACATTCCAGATACAAAGATATGTGGCAGCAGGTTGCATCTGGCCTTCAACCTGCTTGGACAAGCATCTCATTAATGCACATTAATATCTCACAGGTGGGTGCCAAGAGGATGGTACAAGACCATTTTCGGTGGTGCCCAGCAACAGGACAAGGAGCAGTGCCTGTAAACTAAATCACAAGAAGCTTCACCTCAACATGAGGAAGAACTTTACGCTGAGGTAGCCAAGCACTGAACAGGCTGCCTAGGGAGATTGTGGAGTCTCCCTCTCTGGAGACATTCAAACGCACCCGGAAGTGTTTCTGTGTCACCTGTTCCAGGTAACCCTGCCTTAGCAAGGGGTTGGACTGGCTGATCTTCAGAGGCCCTCCCAACCCTAATGATCCCGTGATTCTGTGAAGGTGTTTCTCCTGACTTCAGGGGCCATCCCAGCACAAGGCTCGGCTGGAACACGCTTTCCTAGAGCCCTTGGTTTCAACAGCAGGATAAGAACCCGCTTAATGACTTTGTTCAGCCTCTGACTTTTGGATACGCTACACATATCGACGCACCTGTGAGATCCCATTCTCTTTTAACAACTGGGGCTTCCAGAATGAGGTTGTTTGCTTAAATCGCTGCGATCTCACACATCTCGTGACCCACCCCCAAAACAACAGCTGACTGAGGATTGTAAAATACGGCTATTGTCGGGGGGAGGGAACAAAAACAAAGGAAAAGCAAGCCCAGACAAAACCCACGCCCTGGGCCTTTCCGCTACTTTGTCCTCCTCGCCGGCCCGTAGGGTCGCTCAGCGCTCCCGCGGCGCAGGCGCGGCGGTGCCGGGCGGGCGGATGGCGGCGGGTCCGCGATGCTGCGCTGGCTCCTGGCCCTGCTGAGCCGCTGCTGCGCCCCCACGGCCGCCTCCATGTTCTACGCGGTGCGCTCGGGCCGCCGCACCGGCGTCTACCGCACCTGGTGAGCCACGGCCGCGCCGGGAGCCCGCTCCGGTCCGCCCGGCCCGGCCGCGCCTCACCGCCGTCCGCTCTGTTGCAGGGCGGAGTGCCAGGAGCAGGTGAACAAGTTCCCCTCCGCCAGCTTCAAGAAGTTCGCCAGCGAGAAGGACGCCTGGGCCTTCGTGCGTGGCGGGCTCCTGGGGCAGCAGCAGCCCCAGCCCGAGCTGGCAGGTAGCGCGTCCCTGCGGGGCTGAAGGAGGGGCGGGAGCGGGACGGGGCCCGGCCCGCCCGGGCTGCGCGGCCGCGGTGCGGGGCGGGCACAGCTCCTGCTCGTCCTGTCACTGGCGGTACCCACACGGCGAGGGATGTGCCAGTGCAGCGACAGTGTTTCTGTGGCTGTTCGGACAAACAGTGATTGTACTGTGTTCTTAAGGGCCGTTGCATGTGTGTCTCCTCTTCAGTTTGATCTACGATGAAGAATGACTGCTGTATTCTATAGTGGGTTTTTTCCTAATAGCTCGGGGTGGTGTCAGATAACAGACTAACATTGCTAAGAGATGATAACTACTGTTGTCTTTAGAATTAGTCCAAATAAAACTGCATCTTGTATGTGTTAAACTTTCTATCTTTTCTGTTTTTCGGAAGGTGCACTTTGTCTTCCAGCTGTAACACAGGAAAATGGTAGCCAGAGAGAGGAACTAAAATCCTTGTGTTGCAGTACGTGCAAAAGGCCATATGAACAGTCTGCAAATGAAGAACAGGTTGCTAAGCGTGTAAAACATGATGAATTATGCTCAACATACTCAATGCCAACAGTCAGCGAAGATAAATTTTCATATATGGGTGAGGTCTTTGATAAGTCCTTTAATTCTTTTAATTTTTTTGCTCTCTTTTATAAGCAACAAGTGTAAAACTATTAAAAAGTTTTCAGGGAGGTTTGTGTATGGCAGTATTAGGCCCTCACTTTCTTTTTAAAATGGAAATGTGAACCATAATCTACTATTTCACATTGTCTTTCAGTATAATTTTAATTGGCTTCAACTGGTATCAAGATACAGCTTAATTATATCATTGTTGGTGTGATCTTATGTCTGTCTGGGTTACAGACTATATTTAGATATACGGACATAGCTGGGAACTTTTGAGGTTGGCTGAAGAAGACGGGGAAGAAGTATGGGGTTTGGGACAGAAGCTGTTTTAAGGCTGACTGGTTTGACAGCAGTGAGGGTGTGAAACTGCAGTGGGACTTCTGATGTTCTGCACTACTAATTCACCGGCCTCTATAGTTAACTTTCAGAAGGGCTCTCTGGGAAGGGAAGTTTTGGGGTTTAATGTGCCAGCAGACATTTCTTTCCGTCTGTGTCCTTGAAGGGGTGCTTGAACTTCTGATTTTGGTAATTTTTTTGTAGGTGACTTCGTAGTTGTTTATACAGATGGTTGTTGCTCAGGTAATGGACGTAATAGGGCACGTGCTGGAATAGGTGTCTACTGGGGACCAGGCCACCCTTTGTAAGTAGCTAGATATATATATTTTTTAAAATATATTACTGTTTTTATGGAGTTTACAATATTAGCCTCCTGTTAAATATGAAACTCTGCTGTTGAGACTCATAATGACAGTGTTTTGAGACTAATGAGTTACTGAGGGGAAAAGAGAAATCATCTTTTCTAGGTAAAATCAACTGGAAATAATATTTTTTGGGGCTGAAGCTATAATTCAAGTAATGCAGAAAGTTTTAAAATAGAAGTAGATGTGCGCAGAAGACTATGAATGTAATTGCATATTGATGGCAGGTCCAAATGTGTAGATTGCTCTATGCAGGTGGAAGCTAAAGCTGGAATATATTCATTCTCCTTTACAAAAAGAAAAGTATCTCTAGTATTTTTTTTTTTTAATATGTAGTCATTATCCATTCTTGTGATTATTTGGGGTAACTAATCTACTACTCATTCCTTGGATACAGAAATACCAGTGAAAGACTTCCTGGACGGCAGACTAATCAAAGAGCAGAAATCCATGTAAGTAGTAAATGTTTAGAAATGCTTCTCCATGTTAGGCTACAGTAGCACACTCATGACTGTTTCAGCTCTGGTCTTCAGAAACTGGTTATGGAGCTATGAGGGAAGTATACAAAATATCCAGAGTTATGACTTGAAAGAAATAGGTTTTTTCAAGTTTTATTGGTCTTTATTGGTTTTGAACAAGGTAATTCACCTTGAGAATTCCCAAGTGTCATCAAGTACAGCTATTTAAAACAGCCTTTCATTAGGAAAGCCTGGCTCAAATATGTATCGATTGCCTTGCATTTTTAATGTGTTTGTTTCAGACTTTAGAGTAAGGGATGCTGAGTAGAGGTTAAGAGGAGAATCACCTTCTTAGGATGATGGGATCAGAGTGTCATAATCCTCAGATAAATATAACATACAATTCTAGGATTCTGACTAACTTCTGTTGGCAACAGCCGATTTAGTCTTCCCTTCTCATCTCCTTTTAATTATGGTACTGCTACTATCCCACACTACATGTTTGGGAAATAACTCAAATGGGGAATTAAACTTAAAAACTACAAGAAGTTAATTTTACTGAGGGACAAGTAGAGGTAGTGTTGGTGTGCCAGCAGTCAAACTTATCACTAAAGAGCTTCTCACCTCTACATCCTCACCCAGCCACGTCTCCCTGTTATATTTCAGAGCACCAAATAAAACCCCAACCTGTTAAGGTTTCCAGACTGTTGGAACTGATGTGAATCCTTCCTCCTAGCTAAGGAGAAAATGCTTAAAACTTGGTGTGCAGTTGATAGAGGCTGTGATAGAAAATGGAGCAGAGAGCTGTTCCTTTGGCACAGAGTTGAGCATCAGAATGTTTTGTGGGTTTTTTTGCCAGTGAAACTTAAGAGGCTGCCTCTTTGCCTGAATCATAAAGGTGTCATCTGCATGCATAATTTTGGATCCTCTAAAGCAGGTTGGTAACCATCAGTGGGGAAATTACAGTAATACTCTTCATAGTTCTGTGTTAGCATCAGGTACTTTGTTGGTATTTTAATTGCATGTGGTCAAAATCCTGTTCTGAACTGTGACTGTATTGAAACATTCCTAAGGCAGCCTGCAAAGCGATAGAGCAAGCCAAGAGTCAAAACATCAAGAAACTAATAATCTACACTGATAGCAAGTTCACTATTAATGGTAAGTTAACGATTTTAGTTTTTCTGATACTTAAAGACACACTGCATGCTCTTTCATTACATAAGGCCCACAGAATATGCTGAGTCCTGGAGAGAGGGATATAAGGAAGAGAATGGATAACTTAGCACTTGTAACTGCTTGGGGAAACACTTAAAATCCTCAGACATCGCCTGTGTGAATTACGAGTAGTGTCAAAGTGCTGACAGAAGTAGCCACAGGATTTTTGTCTTGGGATGTTCAGTATGACACAAGGTCTAGGAAAAATGTCATTCATATATACATTGTTAAGGATGTTCTAAAGAGATTGCTTGGAACAAAAACTTCAACTTTTGATTGAAAATTAAATGTTGCACTTTTACTCTTTGTTTTTGCTTGCAGTTTGCTCTTGCATTCTGGGTCACTAAGGTGCAAGTTCCATTCTTGTTTAACTGAAGTTATTCTGTAAATGTTTCTAATAGTTATTTTTTAAAATGCCAGGGAAGGAGGCTTGTGGTTAAATACAAATGGATGTGGTTTGTGTTTTGTTTGCAAGATTGGTGATTTCCTATTTGGTTCAGGTCTGCTTGTCATAAAAACACTAAGGATGTCTTACATAGTCCACACCAGCAAAGATCTTAAAGAGAAAAAAAAAAAAAAGAATCCTTATTTAAGGAGTAATATGGTAAATTTTCTGGCCAGCAAGGGATGGAAGAATGTTATGTAGAAATCTGCTTACATGGTCCTTCTCTAAAGGATTTTGTTTAGTGTGCAGAAGCCATAAAACAGCTGGCCATCTGTTTTCCCCTATGCGTGTCTCCTCAATTTCTCTAAACAAATAAAGCAGTAGATCTTTCTAGCTTACTGTACTATCAAGCATATCCTTAGCTTCAGCTGATTGAAGTTCGTGAGACAATTCTGGTGTAATGCATGTATAAGATTGAAGTCTTTAAATTAAATACCTGTTTGGGAAAACATGTTTGTGTAATTCAACTAATAATGGAAAAATACAGTCCTGAAAGACAGCAATAGAAAACCAAACAAGAATATCTTCTATCTCCTCTGTTTTTGCCTGAGATTTGTACAGAGTTAGTCTTGTTAAAAAGCTGTTGGCTCCATCTTGATCCTCGCTGGCTTCTTTAATAGCATTTTTATGGTGATGCTCCCTTTGCATAGGTATTACAAGTTGGGTTGACAACTGGAAGACAAATGGCTGGAGAACAAGTTCAGGAGGAAGTGTAATAAATAAAGAAGATTTTGAAAGACTTGATAAGCTATCAAAAGACATAGAAATTCAGTGGGTAAGTTCCTCATTTCTTATTTTTAATAACATCTTAAACACGAGTCTTTTAAAACTTTATAAGTGACCATAACTAAGAATTTTGTAGAGCATAATATTGTACATTCATAGATAAAACCATAAATACAAGGAAGCTGTTTTTTGTATTTAAAGCAAATTAGCAACATATTCTAGACTCTTGGAACCAGTATTTCATTTATCTAAATGAATGTTTATATTTGTTTTCTCTCTCTTATTACAACTTAGAAAATGCCTGCCATAGTTATTTTTAGTTTGTTAATGCTGTTAGCA